CCAAGAGGGCCATTGGAGGCCCTCAGGAGGTCGTCCCCATCATGTTCCCGGAAGGCGGTCCGGGAACATGATTCCGCGCCTTGGAGGAGTATTCTGCGCCTTCCGAGGCGCCTTCCGAGGCGCCTTGGACGACGTACGTATGTTTCTATAGCTTGCCCTTCTCTTGTGTACAAAATCCTACATGTCTTACGTATGTTTCCATATATATATATATATATATATATATATATGTATATATATATATGTATCGGAGTCGGGCCCGGGGGCGGCCCGGGGCGGTGCCTGTAATCTCCATGGGGGGTGCAGGGCGCCCCCGGGAGCGTCCGAAGCGTCCCGGAGGGCCCCTGGGACCGCCAGGAACAGTTCGAGACCGCCGAAGACGGCCCGCGAGCGCTCCAAGACGCGTATAGATAGCCTCAGGAATGGCCAGGAAGCCCCGAAGACGTTCCAAGAGAGCTCCATGAGGCCCCGAAGGCATCCCAAGAGGCCTCCCAAGAGAGCGCCGACAAGCCCAAATCGTTGGTTTGTATTGTTTTTTTCTAGGCTTGGGCCTTCTCGCTTTTTCAGGGTTCCGACGCTCCAAGACCGTCCAAGAGTTTCCCAAAACCGCTCCAAGACGGCCGAAGAGGCCCCCAAGACCGCCCCAAGACGGCCCAAGAGACCCCCAAAATCGTCCCAAGACGGCCCAGGAGAGCCCCAAGATGGCCCAGGAGCCGCCCAAGACGGTTCCAGGAGAGCCCCGACAGGGCTTCAAGATTGCCTAAGCGAGCCCAGCGGACCCCAAGAGGGCCCCGCGAGGCCCCAAGAGGCCCCAAAGGCCCCCAAGAGCCTCCCCGGAGGCCCCCAAGAGGCCCCCAAGATGCCAAAAATGGCCCTGAGCGCGCCCCAAGACGCCTCCAGGAGAGCCCACAGGCCTCCGAGAGGCCCCCAAGAGGCCCACTGGAGGCCCTCAGGAGGTCGTCCCCATCATGTTCCCGGAAGGCGGTCCGGGAACATGATTCCGCGCCTTGGAGGAGTATTCTGCGCCTTCCGAGGCGCCTTGGACGAAGTACGATTCATATTCTTGAACGCTTTCCGGGAACATGATTTCTCACCGTTTCGGAACGCTTTCCTACTGCTGCGGTGCTCTGGGGGGAAGGGACGGGGGTCCGGGAACATGATCGGGAGGTTAGGGAACGAGGGTTTGGAGAGGAGCAGTAGGACAGACGGACGGGGCCCGGGGGCGGGGGTGGGGTGGTGCCACCGGTTGGCATGGCCGCCCCGAGCGTCCTGTGGGGTCCACGAACCCGCCCAAGACGGCCCATGAGGCCCCAAAGACAGCCCAAGAGACCCACAAGACGGCCTCAGCGAGGCCCAGGAGGGCCCCAAGACGCTCAAGAGCGCCCCAACAGGGCCCGAGATGGCTTGAAGATGGCCGAAGAGGGCCCCAAGAGGGTCTTCAAGAGGCGAACACCGGCCCATTCCCATTCATCAAGCATGCATTTTCAGCATACTCGTTTGCTTGGTCCTCACAGTGCCCCAGACGCCCCCGAGCCCCAAGACAGCCCAAGAGAGACACAAGGGGGCCCACGACGGCCCAAACGGGTCGTCCTGTGAGGCTCACAGAACCCCCCAAAGACGGCCTAAGAGGCCCCAAAGCCGGCCCAGGAGGCCCCCAAGACGGCCTCAGGAAGGCCCAAGAGGGCCTCGTTCGAAATCATGTTCCCGGAAACCTCTCCAGGAACATGACTTACGGGTTTCTAGGACGCCCAAGAGGGCCCCAGGACGGCCCCCAAAGGGCCCTAAAAGGACCTTCAAAAAGGCCCGGATGGCCACAGTTCGTTGATTTGCGTGAGATGTTGTTGGATTTCTTCCGCGCGGAGGAGACGGAGAGGGCGAAGGAGGAGGAGGAGGAGGAGGAGGAGGAGGAGAGAGGAGAAGGAGGAGGAGGCAGGGAGGAGGAGTGGAGGGGAGGAGGGGGGGAGAGAGGAGGAGGCTCGAGGGCGATCGACGATCGGCGACGACGACCGGCGACGGTGATTGACGACGACGACGACGACGACGACGACGACGACGACGACGACGACGACGACGATCGACGACGGTCGACGACCGACGACGACGACGATCGACGACGATGACAATAGTCGACGGCGCCGATCGACGATCGACGGCGACGACGACGGCCACGCCGACGGCGGCGACGCTGCTCGCGTGACAGCCCAAGAGGCACACAAGACAGCCTCATCGAGGCCCCAGAGGGCCCCAAGACGTCCAAGAGCGCCTCAAGAGGGCCCGAGATGGCTTGAAGATGGCCGAAGAGGGCCCCAAGAGGGAAACTTTGCTGCCCATTCCTCGTGTAAAACGTACAATTTCAGCATACTCGCTTGCTTCATCCTCAGAGTGGCCCCCGAGGAGCCCCAAGACAGCCCAAGACGGCCCAAAAGGCCCCAAAGCCGGCCCAGGAGGCCCCCAAGACGGCCTCAGGGAGGCCCAAGAGGGCCTCGTTCGAAATCATGTTCCAGAAGTTTCTCCGGGAACATGATTTCCGGGTTCCCAGGACGCCCAAGAGGGCCCCAGGACGGCCCCCAAAGGGCCCTAGAATGACGTTCAAAAGTTCCCAGAGGGCCACAGTTCGCTGATTTTCTTGAAATGTTGTTGGATTTCTTCCGCGCGGAGGAGACGGAGAGGGCGAAGGAGGAGGAGGAGGAGGAGGAGGGGGAGGAGGAAGAGGAAGAGGAAAAGGACGAGGCGGGGAGGAGGAGTGGAGGGGAGGAGGGGGGGAGAGAGGAGGAGGAGACTCGAGGGCGATCGACGATCGGAGACGACGACCAGCGACGGTGATTCACGACGACGACGACGACCACGACGACGACCGATGACGATCGACGACGATGCCAACAGTCGACGCCGCCGATCGATGATCGGCGGCGACGACGACGACGACGGCCACGCCGACGGCTTCGGCCTCAGCGAGGCCCATGAGGGCCCCAAGACGTCCAAGAGCGCCTCAAGAGGGCCCGAGATGGTTTGAAGCTGGCCGAAGAGGGCCTTCAAAAGGCAAAAATCGGCCCACTCCCGCTGTACAACGTGCGTTTTCAGCATACTTGCTTGCTTGGTCCTCACAGTGCCCCAGACGCCCCCGAGCCCCACGACAGCCCAAGAGAGACCCAAGAAGGCCCAAGACGGCCCAAAAGGGTCGTCCTGTGAGGCTCACGGAACCCCCGAGACGGCCCAAGAGGCCCCAAAGTTGGCCCGGGAGGCGCCCAACACGGCCTCAGGGAGGCCCAAGAGGGCCTCGTTCGAAATCATATTCCCAGAAGCCTCTCCGGGAACATGATTTCCTGGTTCCCAGGACGCCCAACAGGGCCCTAAGACGGCCCCAAAAGGCCCTAAATGGACGTTCAAAAAGGCCCGGAGGGCCATAGTTCGTTGATTTGCGCGAGATGTTGTTGGATTTCTTCCGCGCGGAGGAGACGGAGAGGGCGAAGGAGGAGGAGGAGGAGGAGGAGGAGGAGAAGGAGGAGGAGAAGGAGGAGGAGGCGGGGAGGAGGAGTGGAGGGGAGGAGGGGGGGAGAGAGGAGGAGGCTCGAGGGCGATCGACGATCGGCGACGACGACCGGCGACGGTGATTGACGACGACGACGACGACGACGTCGACGACCGACGACGACGACGATAGACGACGATGACAACAGTCGACGTCGCCGATCGACGAACGACGGCGACGACGACGACGGCCGCGCCGACGGCGGCGACGCTGTCCGCGTGCGCAGAGCCACCCTGGACCCAGTCTTTTCTGCATCCTTCGAAATCCTGTCCCCGGAAGCGTCTCCGGGAACATGATTTCAGGAGGAGGAGGAAGAGGAAGAGGAGGCAGATTAGGAGGAGGAGGAGGAGGAGGAGGAGGAGGAGGAGGAGGAGGAGGAGGAGGAGAGGAGGATGAGTGGGCGGGAGGGCTCGGGGCCGATCGACGATCGGCGACGGTGATCGGCGACGGTGATTGACGATGACGATGACAACAGTTGACGCCGCCGATCGGCGAACGGCGACGACGACGACGTCTTCACACTGCCACCCCGAAGAGCCCCGAGACGGCCCAAGATGGACCCAAGATGACCCATGAGAGCTACAAGCCAGCCCAAGAGAGCCCCAAAAGGCACCCAACTGAGCCGCAACGGGGGCAGGCAGAGCTGCCTATAGAGATTCTCGGGAGGCCTCTTCCGCAGCGTCCGAAATCATGTTCCCCGAAGCCTGTATCGGAACATGATTCCCGGGTTCCCAGGACGCCCAGAGGGGGCCCTAAGACGGCCCAAACAAGTCCTAAAAGGACGCTCGAAGAAAACCCGGGGGGACACAGTTCGTTGATTTCCGCGACATGTTGTTGGATTTCTTGCACGCGGAGGAGGTGGAGGAGGGGGGGGGGGGAAGAGGAAAGGAGGAAGAGGAGATGGGCGAGGAGGAGGAGGAGGAAGAGGAGGACGAGGGGGGGAGGTGGGGGGTGGAGAGAAGGGGGCGGGAGGAGGAGGGAGGGATTGAAGATGATGATGATGGCGATGTTGATGATGATGCTGGTGATGATTATGGGGGAGGAGGAGGAGGGGGGAGAGGAAGAGGGGGAGGAGAGGGGCGGAGGAGGAGGAGAGGAGGGGAGGAGAGGAGGAGGAGGAGAGGAGGAGGAGAGAGAGGAGGAGGAGGAGGAGAAGAAGGACGAGGAGGAGGAGGAGGAGGGGGCGGAGGAGGGGGAGCAGGAGGAGGGGGGGAGGATGTGGAGGAAGAGGAGAAAAGGAGGGGGAAGAGGAAGAGGGAGGCCCCCCCGGGTGTTCCCTTTAGTTTCGACGACCAAGAAAGTTCCGAAGCTCGAGGGTTTTCACGTGCCGGGCCCTGGGACACATTCGTTCCACATTGCTTCGACATTGTGTCGACATTTGGCCGGGTGCTCGAAATTTTTGCTGGGGTGTGGTCCCTAAGTGCGATGGGAGCAGCGTGAGAGGAGGGGAGGTTGGCCTTCTTCCCGCGAGGCTCTTGAAGGACGGGAAGTTGGTCTTGGAGCACGACGAAGCCCCCCACGGCCGGCAGCACCGCGGCGTGCCGCGGCTGGGCGCCCAGGAGGGCGTGCCCGCCGCGCTGGCGGAGCCCGCCGCGGCGGCGCCGGCGTCGGCGCCGGAGCGCGGGGTGGCGATCCTGGAGCGCGCCGCGGCGCCCGAGGTTCGGAGCCCCGAGTCATCAGGGCTGGAAGCGGTCAGGGGTAACTACACACTGGCGCCTCGGGGGCCCAAGCCGCAGTTGTATCCCGGACCGCAGCCCGGATGATTCGGGCGTCCAACCTTCTCCCGAAGCATCAGGGCTGGGGACGGTCAGGGGTAACTACACATTGGCGCCCAGGGGGCCCAAGCCGCAGCTATATCCCGGACCGCAGTTCGTCCGGATGATTCGGGCGTCCAACCGTCCCGCATCATCAGGGCTGGGGACGGTCAGGGGTAACTACACACTGGCGCCTCGGAGGCCCAAACCGCAGTTATATCCTGGACCGCAGTCATCCTGGATGATTCGGGCGTCCAAGAGGTCCCGGGCCAGGACAGTTTTTTGGAGTACCTGCACGAGTCGCTCTCCCCCACCGCTCTTGATGAGGTGCTGCGGATAGCGACGCAGCTGCAGGCGAAGCAGGCAACCTCCCTGGCCGAGACGGGCATGGCCGGCCAGGTGTTGACCACGAAGCCAGACCCCAATATGCCTACGCAGAATATCCAATCGAAGCCGAAAGGCTTCTCGGAGAATCTGTGGGGACTGTACCAGAAAGCTTTCAGTATTCTGAAGCCGCTGCGCGGCGGCCACTTGAACGTAGTGGCGACGTTCGCGGCCATGGGGCTGGGTCCAGAAAATTGCATCCTGAAGTTGGCTTACATCCTGTACATCTCTGGAGGTACGAAAGGGGTGTTGTGTAAAGGGGTGGGCGGTTACGCTTAATGCTGAAATCAAGATTATAATGCTTAGTTAACCACTTGAAACCTGAAATAGGCACTACGGAAAAAAACTCTACGTCAAAACACTATGTAAAACGCTACGTAAAACACAAAGGAAACAATAATCAACACTGCGCATAAGTAGTAGTAGTAGTAGTAGTAGTAGTAGTAGCAGCAGTAGTAGTAGTAGTAGGAATTCGTCGTAGTATGAGTAGTAGAATGAGTAGTAGTAGTAGTAGTAGTAGTAGTAGTAGTAGTAGTAGAAGTAGTCGTCGTAGTAGTAGTAGTAGTAGTAGTAGTAGTAGTAGTAGTAGTAGTAGTAGTAGTAGTAGTAGTAGTAGTAGTGGTAGTAGTAGTAGTAGTAGCAGTAGTCGGTTCGTTGGCATTAAAAGATAGTACTATCAATAGTACTAGTACATTACTAAGTAAATAGTTATAGTCGAAGTCGTAGTCGTAGTCCTAGTCGTATAGTATATTAAGATAGTAGTAATTAAAGTAGTAGTACAAGTAGTAGTAGTAGTAGTAGAGTAGTAGTAGTTAGTAGATCGTAGTAGTCGTCGTAGTAGTAGTAAGTAGTAGTAGTAGTAAAGTAATTACTAGTAGTCGAAGTAGTAACTAAACACATCTAGTTAAAAAAAAAAAAGTAGAAGTAGTAGCAGTAAGTTAGTAAGTAGTAGTAGTAGTAGTAGTAGTAGTAGTAAGTTAGTAGTAGTATAGTAGTAGTAGTAATCTAACTTAGGAAAAATACGTATTATAGTAGTAAGGAATAATATTAGAATTATTAGTAGTAAGTAGTAAGTCTAGTAGTAGTAGTAAGTTAGTAGTAGTAGTAGTTAGTAGTATGGTAGTATGAAGTAGTAGTAGTAATAATAGTAGTAGCAGTAGTAGTAGTTGCAGTTGTAGACGTAGGAGTAGGAGTAGGAGTAGGACTAGCAGTCGTAGTATGAGCAGGAGTAGTAGTAGGAGTAGGAGTAGGAGAAGTAGCAGTAATAGTAGTAGTAGTAGTAGTAGTCGTCGTAGTAGTAGTAGTAGTAGTAGTAGTCGTAGTCGTAGTCGTAGTAGTAGTAGTAGTAGTAGTAGCTGTAATAGTAGTAGTAGTAATCGTAGTCGTACTGGCAGTCGTAACAGTAGTAGTAGTAGTAGTAGTAGTAGTAGTAGTAGTAGTAGTAGTAGTAAGAGTAGTAGTAAGAGTAGTCGTCGTAGTAGTAGTAATAGTAGTAGTAGTAGTAAGACTACTACTACTACTGGTAGTAAATAACAAAAAAAAAAAGTAGAAGTAGTAGTCGTAGTACTACAACTGTATAATGGTGGAATTCGTGAACATACGAATAATGAGTAGTAGAAGTAGTACTTACTGGTAGTATGCGTTTTTTACAATTGACAAAAACACGTACGACAAAAAAGTAGTAGTAGTAGTAGTAGAAGTAATTAAGTAATCAGGGGGAGGTAGTAGTGGATTAGTTGTAGTAGTAGGAGGACGAGAAGAGGAAGAGGAGCAGTATGAGGAGTATTCGTAGGAGAGGAGGAAGCAGCAGCAGGAGTCGATTAGAAGTAGTCGTAGAATTATAGTGTAGTAGTAGTAGTAGTAGTAAGAAGTCAGAAGTAAGTAGTAGTAGAAAGTAGTAGTAAGCATGTGCAGTAGTATAGTATAGGAAGTATTACGAGTAGTAAAGTAGTAGTAGTAGTAGTAGTGGTAATAGTAGTAGTAGTAGTAGTAGTAGTAGTAGTAGTAGTAGTAGTAGATAGTAGTAGTAGTAGATAGTAGTAGTAGTAGTAGTAGTAGTAGTAGTAGTAGTAGTAGTAGTAGTAGTAGTAGTAGTAGTAGTAGTAGTAGTAGTAGTAGTAGTAGTAGTAGTAGTAGTAGTAGTAGTAGTAGTAGTAGTAGTAGTAGTAGTATTAGAAGTAGTAGTAGTAGTAGTAGTAGTAGTAGTAGTAGTAGTAGTAGTAGTAGTAGTAGTAGTAGTAGTAGTAGTAGTAGTAGTAGTAGTAGTAGTAGGGTGGACCTCCGTCTGTTTGCACAAGGGCGCGCCTGGCGCCGCTGGCGCGCCTGGCGCGCCTGGCGCACCTGGCGCACCTGGCACACCTGGCGCACCGGCGCACCTGGCGCACCTGGCTCACCTGGCGCACCTGTCGCGCCTGGCGCACCTGGCGCGCCTGGCGCGCCTGGCGCGCCTGGCGCGCCTGGCGCACCTGGCGCACCTGGCGCACCTGGCGCGCGTGGCGCATACGAAACATATTCGATACATATACGAGACATACACGAACAACCACACACACACGAAACGTATACGAAACGTATACGAACCTCCGAAGCAGATACGAAACGAATACGGCACGTATACGAAACGTATACGAAACGTATACAAAACGTACACGAAATGTACACGAAATATACACGAAACATACACGAAACATATACGAACCGTACCCGAAACATATACGAAACGTATACGGAACGTATACGGAACATATAAAACAAGACGTGTGCGCGACATATACGAAACATGTACGAATCATATCCGAAACATGTACGAAACATATACGGCGCATACACGAAACATACACGAAACAGATGAGCCGCACCCGAAACACATGCAACATATATACGAAACATCATACGAAACAATTATAACACGTATACGAACCATGTACGAAACATATACGCAACATATGCGGGACGTATGCGAAACATACACGAAACGTGTACGAAACATATACGGAACGTATGCGAAGCATGCACGAAACATCTACGAACCATACACGAAACATATATGAAACAAATACGAAACATCTACGAAACATATACGACACGTATACGACACATGCACGAACCATATATGCGAAACACATACGACACATATACGAAACATATACGAAACATATGCGACACATATACGAAACATGTACGAACCATATACGAAACATATACGCGACATGTACGAACATACGTGAAACATGCACGACACGTACACGAAACGTATACGAAACATACACGAAACATGTACGAACCAGGTACGAAGTATATACGACACATATGCGACACCTATGCGAAACATATACGAAACATACACGAATCATATACGAAACATATGCGAAACATTTACGAAACGTGTACGAAACATATACGAAACAAATACGAAACGTCTACGAAACGTTTACGAAACTTATACGAAACACATACGAACCGGTTGCGAAACATATGCGAAACATATACGACACATATACGACACATACACGAAACGTACACGAAGCATATACGACACAAATGCGCACCATACACGAAACAGACACGAAGCACACACGAACCATACACGACACATACGGAACGTATTGGAAACATATACGAAGCATATACGACACGTATACGAACCGTATTCGAAACGTACACGAAACCTATACGAAACGTATGCGAAACATGTACGAAACATATACGGAGCACATACGAAACAAAAACGACACATATACGAAAGATATACGAAATATGTGCGAACCATACACGGAACATATACGAACCATGTACGAAACATATGCGAAACATACACGGCACACATACGAAACATACACGAAACATATACGACACGTATACGAAACGGATACGAAACATACACGACATATTAACGAAACGTAGACGAACCTTATACGAAACAGACGAACCATATACGAAGCATCTGCGAAACATACACGAAACACATACGACACGCATTCGAACCATACACGAAACATATACGAATCATATGCGAAACAGGTACGAAACATATACGAAACATATACGAAATA